ACCCTCTCGGGCAACGCAAAACACCAATCACACACCATCTGAACCTGCTTCAGAATCAGCTTAAAACACACAGACTCTCTCAGGCCTGTCTGGACGCAGAATTTTCTCAAGGTAACGCCCACAAGAGTGATGTCTAAGTGTGATTATACTGATTGGCAAACGCTGACTGATCGATTACGAAACTTGACTTGGGGCTCACTCCTGAGCCCCGCCAACAGCCGCACAGCGAATGGTAGTGTATACAAATAAGCATTACCGGCAGAGACATGGGAGATTGGAATGGCCATTCCTGCCGCAATAGCCGTCATTAGCCAGTCGTACCTGAGACCAGGCGGTGAACCACCCGAGGCCTGAATCTGCGAGCTGTTGATCAGAAGTGCAAAGTTCTAACCACTGAGCCACGGACTTTTGTCTTGTTGGTTTAGATCGGAATGGCTAATGACGGCTAGTGGGGCAGAAATGGGCATCCCAGTCTTTACCGGTACTGTCCACCTGTAATACTACTGTCTGAGATTATCGCCAAGCAAGACTGAGTTTCCGAGAAAGACCAGAGAGCAGCTGACAATACTTTAGGAGATTCACCGCTTTTTAAATAAAAGGAAGCCAAAAGGATAAAACTGAATGCATCCAACTCTTGGGCGCAAATTCCTTCAGATCGACAGTTCTAGCACCGTTTAACTTAGCTGGGTGTTTATGCAAAACGACATGTTCAATGAAAAGAGAAATATATAAGAGGACATAAGTATTCTTCTCAATGTGCTTACTAATAAGTCCTCAGAAGCCGGCAGTCACCGTTGATTGCAATCCTGCCAGAAAAAGCAAAAATATTCGTCCAAATGCTGCGTTGATTAATGTGTGAGCAGAGTCCGTTCGAAAAGTGTCCACGTGGTCGAAGAGGCAGTGGCCGAATGGACACTGGCCCCTGCAGCTGTGGCGTCGGGTCGATCGATTGGGTTGAGTGCATGTCAGCTGTTCGCGCCGAACGCGACAACTAATCGGTGAAGAGAACTCAGGGACCATCAGTTGCGGTCGCAGAGTGCATCTAGGCCCGCTCTGGAAGCCAATTATTGCAGACAGATTGAAGTCCGCGCATGTAGCGGGTTTTGCTTTAAGGCTGACAATAAAAAAGCGCGATGGAAATAATTCTGAGACTAAACTCTGGTAATGCAACCGCAAAAAGTGTCTGTAAGCTCTCGAAGCTAGGAGATAAGTGGATCAAGTTCAGGAAAGAGAACACTCAGTATCTATGAGAAGATACTGATATAAGCTTGCAACCACCAGGCTAAAGTATGTCTACTAAAAGAGAGTTTACTGTTTCTCGAGTGTTTATGACTACTTCATGCAGGTGCTACGAAGAGGAAGTTTCTTGGCTGTAGCAAGATGCATTAGCCACCTACATTGATGAGTTGGCAGTGCACACTGGTAATACCGATCCGACACGAAGAAAAGTAGATTGAGTCCCATCTTATTTTACTTGGGGAACGTCTGCTTCATTATGACTGGCGGCACGCCGGTTCCGATCCTGTGAACTTAGATCGGCAGTTAACGTCCCCTTACAGGGAAAAGGGATTTCGTTTAGATGCGTCTATTTATCATAGGGATCCTAGTGTTAATGATCAATCCATCAACATTTAGCCTTCAGTTTTGTTGAGTAGGTGAACACAACACAGATTTCTGTAAACAGACAGTTTCGATGGGCTCGCATGTACTTCCGGGAACGAAAAAAAAACATTCGACGGATAGGACAAAGGCTTCTAAGAAGGATTCCCGGCTCTCAACCCTGAAGCTTGGGTACATTTCTGACCGTTAGTATGAAATGGAGGCAGCATGATCGCTTCGCTCTCCATTCACATAAGGAATTTCGTATATGTATGGCAAGGGTTAAGTTGCACCCTATGCTTCGTCATCTTGATTTCTCTGACACTGTATCCAACATTCATGCTTATGCCAAACCCAATGATAACAATCAACAAGGCAGAGCGATAATATTTAGCAAAACTGGCGGAGGATAAACAATGCACGAAGCACAACAATGGATTCACGAAGTCAAGAGCGAAGGAATTCGGCCAAGTCGCCTGACGCTATACAAGGGAACAACACAACTTCAATAACAGCGGCACATAGGGCGAACCTAGGTTTGAGAAAGTGTGTGCATATTAGTGGGAGAGGGGGAGTGGCCCTGCCTTTATTTGATTTCAGGAAGCAATCCATGTGACATCACCAGCGCGAAAAAAGGGCGCTTCATAACAGAGTCAGTATGAAAG